AGCATGTCAATGAGTGTCAACGCTGCAGAGAGACACGGTCTTGGTGTCTGTGTCTTACAAATTTCACACTTCTTAACTTCTAATTTAGCAATCTTTGGAAGAACGTAATCAACCAGGCTGTGCGGTAATTGTGTGTTGACCGACCCTCTGTGTTACATTGCATTACATTTCGAAATGTTGCTAGGTTTATTTGATTTAGTGTACTTTCTCTGTCTCCACTCGTTTTGTCGTTCTTATGTTCTGCTCTCTCTGTGTGTCTCGCCTGTTGTCCCTCTCCCTCTCTGCAGCGTTGCCACTCATTGACATGCTAATTTCTCTAACCCCGCCCTCTCTACATTGACATGCTAATTCCTCTAACCCCGCCCTCTCTACATTGACATGCTAATTTCTCTAACCCCGCCCTCTCTACATTGACATGCTAATTCCTCTAACCCCGCCCTCTCTACATTGACATGCTAATTTCTCTAACCCCGCCCTCTCTACATTGACATGCTAATTCCTCTAACCCCGCCCTCTCTACATTGACATGCTAATTCCTCTAACCCCGCCCTCTCTACATTGACATGCTAATTTATCTAACCCCGCCCTCTCTACATTGACATGCTAAATTCTCTAACCCCGCCCTCTCTACATTGACATGCTAATTTCTCTAACCCCGCCCTCTCTACATTGACATGCTAATTCCTCTAACCCCGCCCTCTCTACATTGACATGTTAATTTCTCTAACCCCGCCCTCTCTACATTGACATGCTAAATTCTCTAACCCCGCCCTCTCTACATTGACATGCTAATTTCTCTAACCCCGCCCTCTCTACATTGACATGCTACTTTCTCTAACCCCTCCATCTCTACATTGACATGCTACTTTCTCTAACCCCTCCGTCTCTACATTGACATGCTAATTTCTCTAACCCCGCCCTCTCTACATTGACATGCTAATTTCTCTAACCCCTCCGTCTCTACATTGACATGCTAATTTCTCTAACCCCGCCCTCTCTACATTGACATGCTAATTCCTCTAACCCCTCCGTCTCTACATTGACATGCTAATTTCTCTAACCCTGCCCTCTCTACATTGACATGCTAATTTCTCTAACCCCGCCCTCTTTACATTGACATGCTAATTTCTCTAACCCCGCCCTCTCTACATTGACATGCTAATTTCTCTAACCCCGCCCTCTCTACATTGACATGCTAATTTCTTTAACCCCGCCCTCTTTACATTGACATGCTAATTTCTCTAACCCCGCCCTCTCTACATTGACATGCTAATTCCTCTAACCCCTCCCTTTCTACATTGACATGCTAATTCCTCTAACCCCTCCGTCTCTACATTGACATGCTAATTTCTCTAACCCTGCCCTCTCTACATTGACATGCTAATTTCTCTAACCCCGCCCTCTTTACATTGACATGCTAATTTCTCTAACCCCGCCCTCTCTACATTGACATGCTAATTTCTCTAACCCCGCCCTCTCTACATTGACATGCTAATTTCTCTAACCCCTCCGTCTCTACATTGACATGCTACTTTCTCTAAC